GTCAAAATTGAGATTTTAACCCTTTATTATAAAAGTTTTAATCAATTTAATTATAATTAGTATCAACTGAAAAAATTATTTGGTTTATTAATTTCTATTATATATAAAATATAAAGCAAAGTATATATAAAAGAGAGGATTTGTATTCTAATTAATCTATAATTAGAAATTTCGTCTATCTCAATTCTTTTAATCTGATTGGAATCAATAAAAATTTGAGAAAATAAATAGTTATATGGCCTAATAATGCAATTTGTGACTTGTTACAATCATAATATATTTAATTTTTTGATAAACATATATTTTAAAATAAAACTTATACTATACGATTGAAATTAGGAAAAAAAAAATGAATTACAACATTCAAAATTCAAGGTATTTCACATCTCAAAGTATTAATTCCAACCTATATTTAAATAGGGTGTAATTATAATAATATTAAGAGCTTTGCTAAATGTCACAAGTTGTTAACACAATTATGCGCATTTACAAGTACATCTTTCGTGCAGCATCAACAATATCTAAACTGCTGCTAAAATATTTTTAAGGGTATTACAGTATTTTCATTTATGTTAGATATGTCACAAGTTGTGCTAAAAATACTTTCCGTAATATTAATAGGATGTAATTATAAAATTTAAATTTCAAAATACTTTTACACCTTAAAACAATTAACCAATTTTTGAATCTTTCTTCTAATTTATCCTAAAAAATTTTAACTACTACAATACTATAGTTATCAAAGAGAAACGACATATTGATTTCTATACACAATTACCAACATTACAAGTATTTTTCCATCTGTGTTGCTATAGCGACAAAGTACTAAACTTAGGTAAGTTAGAAATTTAGAATATGTAATTAAAAGAAACTATTTACCATTCAAAACAAAAGGCAACTATAAACTAAATAGGGTAATTCAGTGCCAAAGAGCATTAATAGGATTGATCATTATGGTTCAGGTCATGGATTTAATTCTCTATAATACAAACTCCTCCTTATAGTTTAGGTCATGGATTCAATTCTCCGTAACGCAAACTCTTCCGAATCAGCTATTTTGCCTCCAAAAACGAACAAACACAGTTCTAAATATCTTGTGCAAATATATATATCTTGTGCAAATATACATATATACCTATATTACTTTTAACCTATAATAGCTACTATAGATAGTATGATACTTTAAGTACCGGTACGCTACCAAGGTTATCCCATGACATTCAATTCACCATTACGGGCGGCATTTTTCGCTTTAATGAGGCTCAGACTTGAAAAAGTTTTACAATTCTTCTTACAAATTTCATAACTTTATAGTTGTCAAACACGGGGCGAAAAATAATTAAATTCAATTACATTATTTCTGTCCTTTTCAGGGTGTCAACTGTCCAACCTATTAATCAACATTTTTTTACATTTCTAACTAGATGCAATCTTTTTCAATTTATACCGTGCAATTAAAGTGCCCTAAAGTTATTCTTTTAGTTGAAAAAATTTTCTCTGATATAAAGGTACTATGAATTATTATTGCGGCAATTTTTCGCTTAATGAGGCTAGACTGATAAAGTTTAAATTCTTTTACAAATTTCAATAACTTTATAGTTGTCAAAAGGCGAAAAATATAAATTAATTAATTATTTTAGGGTGTCAACTGTCAAGTATTAATCAAATTTTTACATTTTATAGATGCAATCTATTTCAATTATATAGTGCAATTAGTCTAAAGTTATTATTTATTGAAAAAATTTTGTGATAAATTACAAATTTTAGGGTATTGTTATGTTCTTTTTAGTTATCCGATAAAGTGTAAAATGTAGTAAAAGATTAATTTGAATTGATATCAAGTAATAAGTCTATAACAAGAGGGAGGGATACATAAAATTTAAATTCAATAAATCTAGTTAGGTAAGAAAATATGTTAAATTAATATATTTGAATTTATCTATATTCATGATATATGAATTTACTTATATATTAAATTAATTAAAAATACAATTTTAATTGTAATTAGAATATTTCTGACTTTTATTGGGAGAAAAAGAATATAATAGAAACACTATTTTGGAAAATCCTTTATAAGGACCGACTCCATATAAGTGGAGCACAACGAGACGCGCATATAATTTAATTTTTAATTAAATAAAGCAAAATTGCGGAAGGGAAGGATCAGATACAGGCGGTAGTTCTCTACCACTAACCACATTCTCACTCTACATTTAGACAAAATTGTGGGACCCAAGAGACTGACAACGTTACAATTTAGGTTTCACAAATAAGCTTTGTCCGGATTCGTGGGTTAAGCGGCGGATGCTCCATTCTACTCTCTGACGTAACCCTTCTTAATCTGCCAATAACCGCGCTCTTCTATTTCAACTCCCGTCTTTATCCGCTGCCTTCTTTTAACATTCACACTGCTCAACAAGCAACGCATCTGACAGACTGCTTGTCTCCTCCCACGTGTACTCGTCCCTCATCCTGGCGAGATTCTATTGGTAGTTACGGTTTTCTGGATTCCGTACATTATACAACAGGTTTTTGTAGGATTTTCTTAGATAGTGCGTCTTCACATGGCTCTGGCCCTTCACTGACTTTTATCTGCAATCAGATTTTGCCACGTCTGCTATCCTTATCTCAATTCGCGTTCTGATCGTCATTAATTTTCTTTTAAAAGGAAAAAAACCATAATAATTCCTTTTCTATTTTCTTTTTTTTGACCGTTTGGTGAGGTCGTGGCCACACCAGGCTGGATACAGCCTATAGAAAATAAGCCTGCAAGATTAAATGGCATTTTATTTTCCTAAAGATAAGCAAAGAATTCGAAATTTTTAATTATGTAATTCATTTACGATTTTGAATTTTCTTTCTATTTGCACAATTTGGTGCATTATAGAAGGACGTGGCATTAATTCCACACACTTGTATAAAAAAAATATTTGAAAAGTAAATGATATATTATTAAAAAGTTGTAATAAATATATTTATATTTTTAGAGATTCATTGAGCAGAGAGTATGGCGGAATGGTTAAATAGTTGGTAGAATAGAAAGAGAGAGAGAGAGAGAGGTAATCGTCAGCTTTGCTGACTCGAAACTAAAGCCCACATGACGAGTGTGATTGTGTGCTTTCCTGATGTCAGGCTCAGTTCTCCACTCCGCCTTATTATTGGTCAAAAAGAAATACTCTCCTTCCACCATTTATTTTCATTTGATAACTTCAATACTTTAATTAATTAAATTTTAAAAAATTGTCCTGCCACCACCAATAATGGTGTCTTGACTTTGGACTGGTGACTAAACTAGGGAGGAGACCACACAATTCCATGTCTCCTATAATATTGGGCCTGAAATGGGACGGACCATACCATTTGGGCTTGACAGAATAGCCCAGCTTGATATATACAAATCTAGCAAGTACACTACTTTCCATAGCTTCTTTAAGCACATTTCCTTCTTCTGGAATCCCCAAAAAAACCACACCAAGCAACCATCGAAACAAATCGCAAGAGTATTTTAACAATGGATCAACTGATCTTCCTCGTTTATCTCTAACATCAACAGACCTTAATTACCGTGAAACTAGCTATTCACAACTACATTACTTTCTCCGAATTTCACGTTTAAATACGCTGCGTTTTGAGAGAAGAAAGAAGGAATTTGGATGGTTGATAACTTGACATGAAGAGGAGAGTAAAAAACGGGTGAGCAAACTCTCTGACAAAGCATTTAAACTCAGCTGCACACTACCCCTTAGACAGCCAATTGTACATACAGTACAGCAACCTCTCATGTGCCAGTAATAATATAAGTTAATAAGCAAGGAAGCAAGCTGTCATTCTTATGTAGCACATGCCAAACAGTCAAACATATTAAGTTGGTTGGACAGCTTAAGGTCGATGTGAGAGATCTACCATTTTTCTTTTTACCTTGCTTTAAATTATATACTACTATTATTCAATTAACATTGATTTTGATAATCACAAATTTATGCCAGTTGCCCTAATGTTTAGCGATCTCCCATTTTTCTAATTTTACCCTTTTAACATTTTCAACTTTTATTTTTGCAGATTAGACACTCAACTTGATTATATAATTACATCTATTAAATAATTTAATTAGTAAAATTAGACTAATTGAACACCTACTTGAGTAAAACAACTCGCTGAACTGAGTTGAAAACTGAACCAATATTGTTCAATTTATTAATTATTGGTCCCCTGCTCGTTAGACACTTGAAAATTTTAAATGATTATTTCGAAATTTATATTAATCATACATAAAATTAATATTTGCATGTCAAAACTTAAAACCCAAAAAAATTATTATTAGCGGTGCACAAAAGTGTACAATATTACCGAAATTCATAATTTAGAAACACAATATGCCTCTTAAAGTTGAAATTGATGCAAAGTTAAAATAATGAAGTTTAGAAGTAAATTATGTGTTATGCCACAAACTGACACATATGTTTATAAACTTACGGGTATTTTCAACTTTTTATATTAACCTATTTATATCCTTCAACTGAGAAAATTGCAGCTATTGATACCTCCATTTATAAAATTACATGCATTTTACATGTTTTTCAATTATCAAATATAAGTTCATAAGTGCAAAACTTCGTGCATTTTTTAACAGAAATTATTGAATAGTATTTTCTGCACTTTTTTAATCTCCAAGAAGTATAATTTGATAAGTGAAAATATTCTGTAAGTGTAATTTTAAAACTTAATTCATATAATTTTATAAGCTGATAGATTTGCAAGGTAACATATAAATTAGAGTCCACAGTAGAATTTTTTTTCCAAAGTTGACGTTTCGATTTAAGCATTTGGCCTTTTTATCTTGTTATAATTACTTTCGATAGAGGTCATGTGTTTATCATAAATTCTCGAGACAATATAGAGCTACCTCCATTCTTGCAGAAGCGAACTACCTTATGGTTTCATTCATTGCATTTAATACAAAAACTATTCCTGCATCTTTTATCATGCCTATAAAAGGACCCCCTGATCAAATTTTCAGACAACTACCACTGGTCTTGCAACAAACAGAGATGGCAGCAACGGCAAGGCAGTTTTCTTGCGTGCTTTTTCTTGTTCTTGCAATTGCTCATGCAAGTGCAAGAAATACGCCTAAAGAAACTGCAGGTCTCGATGATCAAAAGAATGTGGTTGTATTTGGCGGTTTAGGTGGCTTCGCTGGTGTTGGTGGTGGTATTGGAGGTGGTATTGGTGGTGGTCTCGGTGGTGGTATTGGAGGTGGGCTGCCTGATCTCGGTGGCACAGGCGGTGGGATTGGTGGATTAGGTGGTTTGGGAGGAGATACAGGGAGCGGTGGAGGTCTTGGTGGTGCTATTGGTGGTGGTGGGATTGGCGGTGGTCAAGGTGGTTGTGCTGATGGTGGTGCTGGCTCTATCCTTAACCCTTGATTCCATTTCATGGGATTTTTTATGTTTAGTGTTTCTGTTGCATGCAGATGCAGTTAGTACATGTGTTTAGTTACTTTTCTGTTTTATTCACTGTTGATTTTTTTTTCCCTTTTCCTTTTTTTAGTATTGTTCGCTGTTTTATTGTTTTGGAATTTTATTAGTAATATTTGCCATTTCTTTACTAAAATAATTATCAAATTACTTTCACAGTTTGTTCTTAATTAATTGTGGATCATAAATAATTTCAATTTTACAACAATGTCTTAACTAACATAATAAACAATCTTAATCTCGTAAGAGTGAAAATATAAATTTAATATAGAGCAGCAGAATTCTAATAAAGACAAAACTCTTATGCGCTATGCTCAAAAGAGAGTTTATTCACGCAAAAAATGGTGAAACAACGGCTCCTATATAGTTTTACAACTAAAATGATTTAATTTGATAGTCAATTCTGATTAAAGGATACGGGATCTTTGCCATTCCATATCACTCTTCAGAGGTAAATGATATGGTTCTTGAATTGTCTAATTTTAGCAAGTTCATTGGAACTACTAGTTAATTAACAGTCAATTCTGATTAGAGAATTTTAGAGACGTATTAATATTAAGATATGTTTTCAAACGGTTTAATTAATGGAAATATATTGTATATGTTTTCAAGTAATTTTTACTCCAAAGATTAAAGGATCCAAAATTTTAAAATCATAACTTTTAGAAATATTTATTTAAATATTACTCATAACCGGATGTGAATTGTTCTATATATATTATTAATTTGTTGTTGAGCTAAAATGCCCAATATTTTATTAGTTGCAAGAAGGACCGGCAACCCTCTAATACTTCAAGAATAAAAATTTCAAATACATCAAAAATGAAAATAGTGAAATAAAAAACATAATGATGTGATTTTAAAATAATATCTATTGATATAAAAATAATTGTTTTAACATTAGAATGCATATATTATTATTGATATATTTCTGATAAATGTAATTTGAATTTAATGGATGATACGATCATTTTTATATTATAGTAAACCGAGGAGAAGATCCATCTCCTACCTTTCCTTTCCTTCCAATAATATACATATCAGAAATGAATCAGATTCGTACATTAATTATTAATACATTGGCTTGGCTTCCAACTACTTGTCATTGTTCAATGCCTGTGAAATTTAAAACTTCTCTGCTGCTTTCAGACTTTCAGTTGGCATGTCTTCATCATTTTCTTTTTTTTTTTTTCAAAAAAAAAAATTTTATTATTAAATTTTTTTATATATTAATTAAAAGTTCTTTGAGCAAGAGCCTAAGATCGAGGTGTCTCTCAAAATTTGAAAATTTTCTAAAATATAGTACTAAAAATAACAAATAACAGGCTTAGCTTAATGAAATGTGATACCTATAATATATAAAATAAAAAAAAAACCAAATAACATTTTTTTGGGAAAAAAAAAAGGAAATTCGAAGGATACATATTAAGGGTTAAATAAAAAGATTGGTAATAATAAAGTAATTAGGTTAATAGACTTTCTTGCTGTAGCTTATTATGAAAAAAAATAATTGATATAATTGAATTTTTAATTTTTTTTTTAATTCATTGGAGGTTTTTATAGGCCGAAATAATATTGCAGGTTACAAAAAGGGGTAGCCCTTTCCTTGACTCACCAAATTGGTGAAAACAACTATAGTCGAGAGAATTCGAACTCGAAATCAATCAAATCACCACCTGATCGGCACAATTGAACTTTTAATTGAAATATATAATTAACTTGATTTGATATTATATGAAGTGTTATTGCATGATATTATTAATTTTTAGAATCTTAATTATTGAATATTTAAATTTGTAGTATGAGAAATTATCATATTCACATATATATTTTATCTTCCATTTCTTTGTCTGTGTTACTTGTCGCAGCAGGAAGCACCAATGCATGGCTCACAATCTGCCACTAATTTTCCCTCTGCTAAATTATAAATGCCATTAATTCTGGCTGTTGATCTCCCCGTAACATGTACTAAAGAAAAAAAAAAAAAAAAAACGAAAAGTTGCTTACTTGGCTGATATTAATTAATTTTTAGAGATCTTAATATTGGAGATGATTTTAAATTGTAGTATGAGAAATTAATACTATTCACATATCATATTTTATCTTCATTTCTTTGTCCTGTTTACTTGTTCGCAGCAGAAGAACCAATGCAAAGATGGCTTCACAATCCTTGCACTAATCCTCTGCTAAATTATAAATGCGCATTAATTCTGGCTGTTGATCTCCCCGTAACATGGTATAAAGAAAAAAAAAAAAAAAAACTCACTTACAGAAAAAAGGATTCATCAGGATACTACCATTTTACTTGTATTTTACCACTCCATTTACTGCTTTCAAACCAATCTCCATACTGGGCTGTCATTTGCCCACCAGCTACTTTTGCCTTTTAAAATAAAAAGGGCTTCACAAAACCAAAAAAAAAAAAAAAAAAAAAACTCACTTTACAAGAAAAAAAGGATTAATCATGGATATACCATTTACTTGTATTTAACTCCATTTACTGCTTTCAACCATTCCATACTGCTTCATTTGCCGCTCCTTTTGCCTTTAAAAAGGGCTTCACAAAAACACTTTGAGATATCCCTAGAGAAACAGAGGAGAGAGACAGAGAAAGATGGCTAGGTGGTGTCTTAGTGTTATGGTTGTGCTTGCTTTAGTAGCTGTGCAAACTAGTGCTAGAAACGTTCCTAAAGTTGAAAATATGGCTACTACCAAAACTAATGTGCCTAGTAATAATGCTGGTCTAAATGACCAAAAGAACTTCCTCACCTACGGTGGTGTTGGTGGCTACAGTGGTCTTGGTGGTAATGGTCTTCCATTCGGCGGGGTTGGAGGACTTGGTGGAGTCACTGGCCTAGGTGGCACTGCCGGCATTGGTGGGTTTGGTGGAGTTGGTGGTGGAAGTGGTCTTGGTGGCCTTGGTGGCTTGGGTGGTGGTGTTGGTGGTTTGGGTGGCGTTGGCGGTGGCGGTGGCGTTGGCGGCGGTGTTGGCGGTGGCGTTGGCGGAGGCGTTGGCAGTGGAACTGGCGTTCTTCCTTATCCATGAAAATATTGATCTCATTTCTGGTTTATAGCCAGGGTTTATGAAGAACTCTATTTTTATGCATGGTTATTAAGTTGGTTGTGTTTGAGGGTTTATGTAATGGTTTAATTTTAATTACTTTATGTTTTGCTTGTTTATTAGGGTTAGTTGGGTGTGTCTCTTTACTTTGAGTTCGAGATTTTCATTGTCATGTTTATGTTTGAGTGGATCATAGTTACAGAAACTTGAGTTTAATTAATGAGTTCATGTTTATTATATTGTGTTCGTGTTTAATTTTTTTTGGTTCAGCTAATTTTCATTTTAAGATACATTTTGATATGATTAAAAACAACTTACGAAACCAAATAAAGATTTATAGACGAAATAAATATATGTTAAAATTGCTTTATCTTTTAACGGACAGATGCGTGATATAAATAAATTTAAAATTACATATTCATTATCTGATTAATAAAAAAGAAAAATAAATTGTATATACACTATGTTAATTATTTCTTGCCGGATTTAGAATTTTGGGTTAGGTTACTAGTTTGGTTAATAAAGAAAAGAAAAAGTAAATTGCACACATGTTATATTAATTACTTGCCCTACTAGATGTTTGGGTTTAGGTTCTCCATCACCCTACATGCATGGTTCACTTCACTGAATATGGAAAATGTATTTAATTATTAAAGTTGGTAGGTGTATCAAATCTTGCATGGAGTAACTACATCTAGTTTGAATTGTCAACTCAAACTATTAATACATGGGTCTTGTTTGGTTTAAATTAACTTACTTCTAGGAAAGTTTACTTATCTAAAAGTACAATTTTAGGAAAATAACTTCCAAAAAAAAATAATAATATAATTGTGTTTAGTTAATATTTTGAATTTCTGAAAAGTAAAAATGTGTTAATAATATTTGATATTAAAAATTATATAAATATCCCTACTAAAAAAGTCCTCTGGAAGCTATTGGCAAACCAAAAAAAAAAATGAAAAAACGGACATCAGTTTTCTTAATTTAAAAGAATTAATTATTTTTTTAATTATTATAAAACAATTTTAAACTGACTTCTATATATTTTTGTAAATGGAGGGAGCACGGCTTAAGAGTTTAGTTAATTAATTCTCTACCAGAGGTAGCTGGTCCTCCACAGCCACAGGTCAAGAATTAATATACAAATATATAAATGCAAATGTGATTTCTTTGTCACTTGTCCAAAATATGTGAAGGCAGAAAGCAAGAAGTCACAAGTTATCGATGACAGGGTTTATATTAGGTTTGGTAAGAGAAATTGCATTAATGAGGTGAGCCCTTGGTTAGATTGATCCACCATTGTGCAATTTACTATAGGCAGGACTGAAGTTTTCAGGATCATTGAATATGAGTTGAATAGTTTCTTGCTCTTAAAGACCCATCACCTACCCGTTACCCACTGCTTTTAGTTTCTCATTTAAAGTTGTTTCCTTCAATATGTTCTGGGAAACGTTGCGTTTTGGATTGCCAAAAGATTATTTTTAGTAATAAAAATAAGACAAGCCAAAGAAATGAGGTCTGTCAATATGAACAAGAAACGATTGTTCATTTCAGGATTAGCCATAGGTTTGTGTTGATTGGTTGCACCCAATGACAGTTCATGGTTCGATTATTATCATGTTCATGTCGTAAGTCGATTGAGCTATAATAGGATATTGCTTCTGCACTGTAAATCTAAAGATGGCGATCTTGGCATCCATTATCTTAGAAATGGGAAAGACTTTAATTGGAGATTCAGGATGAATTTTTTCTCAACGACACTTTCTTTGGTGCTACATGGCACAAGACGACAAGTCGCATGCTGCTTTCCAAGTGTTTTAGGCTGATACTAATTTTCTTGGCATGTGCGGTTATGATCAGATTTGCATTTGGATTGCTAAAGATGAAGGAATTTATTTGAGAAATAGAACAAATAACAGTTCACTACAAAAAAAACGCAAAATTGCGACCGATTTTTGCGACCGACTTAATTCGGTCGCAATTTTGAGACCGATTAGCGACTTATAAGCCACCGGTCGCAAAATTTGGCGCTGAAAGTTCCCGCGAGAATGGTTAATGATTTGCGACCGATTTGCGACTAAATGTTCTTCTGTCGCAGATTTGGCGACCGATTTTGCGACTTAATGTTCTTTACTGTTCGCAAAACTTCGGGCGCCCACTAAAAAATAGGCAAAGTTCTGAGACTCGATTGGAGACACATTACGACCGATTCTCTCTTGCGACCGAGTATATTAGGTCGCAAATCGTCCGCATAAATTTTGAGCCCTAAGTCAACGACCGTCGTCATTAAAAATTGCGACCGCGATAGTTTATAAACATTTGCTGACGATATGTGGAGTTAGAGACTTTAAGCGTCGGGCCCTCTCTTTTTTTACTACTTATATATATCTTTCTCTCTTCTCCTTTCTCAATCATATATAGCTAGAGCGCCACCCGCCTCTGACACACTATAGTGAGCGGCAGCCGCTCTAAGCTTTTGCACTCCGGTCAGCCCTGTTGCGAAAATCCTGAGGTTAGTTTTTAATATATATAGAGATATATTTTATCTATTATTATTTTTTCGATTTTATTTGTTTTTATTGTATTTTATGGTTGATTTTGTATATAGAGTTGCGCTTAGAATTTTTTTTGGTATTATATTATTATTATTATTATTATTTATGTATTATTATTATATATTATTATTCTAATTATTACTGTTCTTATTTAATTATTTAATAATTATTTTGTATTATTTGTTTGTTGTTATTATTACTAATATTATTAAATATTATTATTATTATTATTATTGTGATTGTTATTATTATTATATTATTGTTATTATTATTATTATTACTAACTGTTCTTATTATTATTCATTATTAGTATTATTATTATTATTATTATTGGTTGGTTTGTTGTTATTCAATATTAATTATTAATGTGGTGATTATATTCATTATTGTGGGATTGTTTATTTATTATTATTTTAAGTAGTTATATTGTTATTGGTTATTGTTGTTGTTATTATTATGAATTAGTATTATTTATTATTAGTATTCTATTGGTTGTGTTATTATATCATTATTCCTTAATGTTAATATTATTATTATTGTGATTGTTATTATTTATTATTATTAAATTAAGTTATGTATTGTTTATTGTTATTTGTTGTTGTTTATTATTATTTATGGTAATTCATTGTTTACTGTTGGTTGTTTGTTTATTATTATTATTATTTGTGAAGTTAACTTGTTATTATTTTATTAGTTAATTATTGTTTAATGTTGTTTGTTTGTTATTTTTTTATTTTTAATTTAACAATATATATATGCCAACTTAAATAAATTAAAAATTGAGAGTTTCAGTCACAAAAGCGTAATTATATATTGTTACATATTTTTATTTAAAAAACGAAAAAAAATTTAAAAATTGTTTGCTATATATAAAATTAATACCTTAATATCCAAAGCAAATAGATAAATATGCATTTTATCATACAATTTTGACTAATTGAATTGAAATAAAAACTAGAACGGAACGCGCCATTAATATTTAGGAAGAACGATATTTGGAGATACATTCGAGTGATATCGAACGATAAAAATTTTAATTTTCAAATTACATTAATTTCTGCAATTTTTACCGATGGATGATAATGAAATTTAGCAACAAAATTGAATGTGATTAGTGAGAACGCTAAATTTTTTTGCTTATTCAATCTCTATTTTTATTTATCTTTTCTAAAAAAACATTTTATTCATTAAAAATTGCATTTTCTTTTTGCTTTAAAGTTCTATTTTATTAATATAAAATCTAGTAATCAATACATATAAAATACATACTAAACTATTGTAAACTATTAGGGTAGGAATATTTTTACAGTTGTTTATTGCAACGGCAGAGAAAAATAACTATTTTAAAAGGTTCTAAATATACTTGTGGTCGATCCTTAATTATATACTATTTTTTTGTTAGGCCACTTTTAATGAAAATCGTGACAATATAAAACATTTAGTAGTTTTTCTTATTTCAACATATTGTATTTTTACTAAAAAAAAATTGTTGAATTGTAATCATAAAAAATAAATTCATTTTATCCATACAAATTTCTCAAATCTAATAAGTGATCTAATTCTTTATTTTAACTTATAAAATACCTTTCACAAATTCATCAAAGTTTAAAATTGAACCGAAATAATTTGAAATTTATTAAAAAAAATCTTTAATCAAAACTTGAATAGATACTTTAAGTAGCACCATTTGCAAGTCTGCAAACGCAGTTCGGAAAAAGTTTTCAAAGTTTTTTTTCAAAGCAAGTGTCATTCTCAAATATACAGAATACATTTACAATATTATGCGGATTGAAAATGAAAGCAATTATTTTCTTTTATTCATACTAATATTTTCAAATTTTACTTCAGTTAATGCGAAAGAATATAAAAGAAAACTATGCAAATGGCCGAATGTGTATTAGAGTGTTTTTCAGTTTTAATATTGGCTCCACAACTACAAAAGAACTAATTGTAAATATCTTAACAATTAGTGTATAACGTAGTTGATGGCAATTTAAAAACTAACTCTGTGAAAGTACTCGATCACAAATAATAACAAGTACAAAAACTAATTGGCTCCAATTTTTTTTTTTTTTTTGAAGAATAATTAATGTATATAAATAATTTTTTGTGTGTTTGGCTTATTACATGTCTTATTAATTGGCAACTTCTTCTCTTAGAGAAGTTTTTTGGCTGTGTTTTTTCTTTATTTTATATTATTCGTCGTTATTTTTTCTTAAAATATGTTTTTTTTGAACTTAATGATTGATGGTTCGGATTGGGAGCTAGTAGTGGCCATTTTGCTTTGAGAATGTTGGTATGATATAGAAGTGTTTATGATTTGTTTTTGTTATTTGAGATTTAATTGTGTTGTGCGAAATGCTGCCCGAATTTTTTTTCCCAAAATTCAATTATGTGAAATAGTACACTTACCTTTAATTACGTAGTCTTTGTATTCAATAAATGAACTTAGTGATTTTAACATTTATATATAGTTACCTTATTATATTATAGAAATAACCTTAGTTACTTATAAGTGTTGTAAATTGAACATTACATTAGGTGCATGTTTTAAGGATGGTTTAGACTAATGCAATTACATGACACGAACCTTTATAAACACATTGTTAATTAGGTAAAAAAAATGCAAAATAATCGAGATTGGATGTACTTGAAGTTCGAGGTCAATGGGATATTAAGACG